GGCGCTATTTAATTTTTTAAATACGTTTTCCTTTAATTTCTTTTCGTTTATTTTGTTTTAAATCTTCTTTTGTTTACCTTTTTTGCCCATTTTTATTTGGCGTCCCATTTTTCTCTCTCTCTCCCTTTTCTTTCTTTCTTTTTTTTAGGTAACTAGTGCTTAAATAATTTGTTACCTGATGACACATTGGCTCTGGTTCAATTACTAGTGTTACGCTGATTCGACTAGAAATCGTTTTTTAAAATCTTTTTCTGGCTTACTGTGTATTGCATGTCTCATTTTCTATGTTTTGAAATGCATAGTAGGCCTACATTGTTTAGCGAGTTTCAAGTTTTGCTTTTCATTGCTTTATTTTTCTTTCCGAGACAGGATTTATTTGAATTCTTTCATTTTTGAAGAAGGTATTTCCAATTTAAATATAGGTCTTGATGATAGATTTATATGAACTGTTTATCTCTGGGAGATAAAGTATGATCTTGAAATATTTGCCACGTGAATGTGCCATAGTTTTGAAGTGGAAATGAAATATAGAAATTTTATGAAGAAAGTGAGAAATACGCGTAGTTACCAGTTATTATTATCTCGAGTCTGTTACAAGATAACGACAGTGACTCAAACATTAACATTACCTGTATAAAATATCTGCAGCCCAAACCAGCCCTGTTGTGATAGTTTTGCTTTTTTACTTTTGTTGTTAGAGAGTATTTTTATATTCACAGGTCCAAGTAAAAGTACTTTTACTGTCAGTCGTTTTAAGTGAATATCCTTCTTTTATACATGTCTGGAGCAGCTAGTTCCATTAGCACCTAACGTAGGGTTCCGAAACCGTTGTCCTTATTTCCAAAGTGCTGGTTCTTTGGAACAATATTTTTATAGTACTTTTTTTTATTTGTTATCCTTAAAGTGTATCTTGCTTACTCCACACTCTTCTCTCTTTCAGTCCCCGCAACCTGTCTGTCTGTTTGTCTTTCGTTCTCTCTCTCTCTCTCTCTCTCTCTCTCTCTCTCTCTCTCTCTCTCTCTCTCTCTCTCTCTCTCTCTCTCTCCCTTAGTCTGTTTCTCTCCCCCGCCCCTGACATCCCCCGACCCCTGCCTGGCCATCCAGAACGCCTAGCCTTTCATCTTTGTCTCAGTCTGATCATCGTTTTTCAAAGGTCTTGCTCATCCCCCAATATCACTAATTTCTACAAAAACCTCACCGTAAACAATATTAACAGATCTTTTTCGTGTATAGTAGCTGCTGAACTGCGTTCAACTGAAAGTAATTCGATCCTCAGTTACAGCACGTTGCTTGAAGTTAAAACGAAGCTATTTTGATTTTTACATTTTTCGGTCACGATTTTAACTAGACCAAAGAGATTATAAATAAAACTAGAGGTCTTAGCTGTGACGTCACGAGTGTCAGACTTGAGAGTCTCGCCGCAATTCAGGAGAGGAACAAAAGGCCAGTCGGTGCACAGCAAAACTTTTCAATCACGGATTAATGATGTCTGAGAAGTCTTTTGATCTAGATTTATTTTTCGTGTGATTTGCCTTCGCTAAAATGTACTCATAGGGAATTTTGTGATTGTTTACCTTTAAATGAGCCAAATAAATAAATAAATAGGGCCTTTTACACAGTGAGACCCTGTGAGTGAGTAAAATTCATATAAAAAATAAGGCGGACTTGATGATCACTTGAAAAAATAGAAAACATGATTTTATTGAACCTTTTGCTGTGCGTCGCTCAATCAGTATGTCCAGATTTAGCACCGCTGACCCCAACAGGGCGCTTGTATCGGCCCTCTGGAAACAGGAATGTGACTGAGAAGCTCTTAGAAAGCCTCAGCTGCAACTCTAGCACTCGTTCAAGTTCAAGGCTGGTTGAACAGAAAAGAACCACTGTTGATGTTGCTGAGATAAAAGAATATAAAAGTAGGCGTAACTGCCCACCAATAAGACCGGCAAAATATTATTCTGTCACATTTGCCGAACCGATGCCAAACAGCATGTGCAACAGCAGCTGCCGGGGTTAATGGAAGATGGGGTGTTGTGTAGCGAAGCACCATTGCCAATCAACGCCAATTTTAGAAAATATTGTGAACTTTTAAAATAAACCGCTATCTATTTAAATTTAAGTGTTGCATTTGGTAAATGTGGACAATGTCATAATATAATACACGCATAAGGAGCGCAACAGTAACAGTATTATAGTGGAAATGCTAATATTATGATTGTAGGCCTACTGGGTCAAACTGTAGAAACAACGATGGCTCACTCTTATGTCGTGCTTGGGTGCACTGTCATGGGGGGGGGGGGTTAAATTAAGTAGTTAGTACGAGTAAACATATTTATAGCTTGTTTACTTTCGAATAGCTGCCTGAAAATATAATTTCTAGCTCATGTATTTATTTGTCGACGAGACGGTATGTTTGCTTGGCACTCCGGTGGACTAGTGACCAAACCATCATATTTTTTTTTAAAATAAAAAAATCTTGTTTCAGTAATAAAGTTCCTTTATTTGTGCCCGATATTAAACAACGCTCTTTGTGTGTAAGCACATGATCCGTATATACAGTGATTTACAGTATCCCAGCCTACAAATTGCTCATTTTGAGACAATCACGAATTAATATATTATATCGAATAATTAACCCAGTCTTAACCCCCTTCATTACTCTATGAAGACCTAGGCTTTGCATCACAGTAGAGAGTGTACACAACATGAGATAAAGCAATCAATTTTTTAAAAGTATGAAAATGTCCCTTTTCTTAACAAACTCCATTACTTACGTTGTCTTCCTCTTACCCCCCCCCCCCAACCCCACCCGGGAAAAAACAAACTATACCCATATTATTTATCATTACCTCTCTGTTCATTTGTAGCCCACATTGAAGTGCATTAAAGTTTCCCATAATCGGTCAGCAGGTGCGCTATTGTGTATGAGAGTATGTACTATAAAATTAAACAACAGCAAACAAAAAGAAATTGTAAAATAAAACTAAACTGAGCTTCAAACTCTATGAAGACCTTTGCGTTGCAAGAGGCGTGCAGCGTGACAGCACTGTTTCTAATCCTCAAAAAAATGGCGACAACTTTAAGGTATCGAATGACCCCCCCCCCCCCCCAACCGCTGAATAATTTTCAATTTTTTTGCACCCCCCCCCCCAAACCCAACCCGCTTCTTATTCCATACCCCCGATTATTGTTTTCCAGTTTGCCACGACCGAGGATCATGTGAAACATTATGTAGAATCTAGATATCTGAATAAAAGCATTTAAAAAAATAAATAAATGGCAAACTACCCGTAGTATTATTAGTACTGGGTTGGCTACCTCAATTTTCTGTGCATTTTAAAAACTTTTGTAAATTGGTTTTCATATTTTAATGAAACTGGTTTGTTCCTAAAAATGGGAAAGGTTGTTAGAGTAACTTACTAAAATCGCTAAAATTTCATGATCTCTTGTTCTTTTATTCATTGAAAGAGTAATAAAACAGGTTTGTTTCTACTAGTACATGGGTATGAGGTTGAATGAGCCACCCCCCCCCCCACCTCTTTAATCCCCCATCCCCCTGTTTATGAATTTTGGACCACTTGTTCAACCCCTCCCTTTATTCCTAGTTTATCCTCCCTTTTTATTCGATACCTTAGAGAAGGCGAGCTAAGCGGGCCGAACAGCCATGGTGAGTTTACTTGGGTGACGTCACAGCTGCGACCTCTAGTACTATTAAAACATCTTTGACTCTAACAAAGATACGATGTCTAACTAGGTGTTGTGACACATGTTGTTTTTGAGGGTGAGTGACATCCCTGGTGGTTATCAAATGGTTAGAATGTACTTGTTGCAATTTTCACTATACTACAGTGAATAAATAACCCGTTATGGCATAACAGGCTTTTTTTCAGCTCTGCTTTGCTCGTTCTCCCCCCCCCCCCTCTCTCTCCCTCTCTCTTTCTCTCTCTCTCTCTCTCTTTCTCTCTCTCTCTCTCTCTCTCTCTCTCTCTCTCTCTCTCCCGGCCTGTCTCACATGAATGCATAAAAATCACGGAGATCTATCAAAAGTGATACCTTCATTTCCACATTTCCATCCAGCGTATGTTGATGAGATCGGAAATGACAATCAAATTCTAATTATATTAAAAACTGAACTCATTTGCATTTCTTTTTTATTGCCTTTCCTTGGAAGTTTGGAGGTTTTGATTATAAAAGTGCCCCCGTTCAGTGTTTACTCGAGAGCCAGTCACCGTATCACGGTTGGGGAGTACATGCAAAGAGTTGAAGTTTGAGTGCAAGAGTTCTGTCTGACGTTTCTTTCCCTCTGTCGGAGTACCTGCGTTAGAGGTTCAGTCTAATGTTCAGGGAGTTCACTTTGCTTTGTTTGCAGAAAAGATAAGAATGATTTTGGCATGAAGAAGATGATCGTTTTTGTTTTGTTTAAATTCTGGTACCAGGAAGATACTTTTTAAAGTTTTGTCAGGATGAAGATATTTGTTTCTGTCTATTGAATAACGGTATGTTCATAATTCTTGCACCAGGAAATGCCCATTTTCTACTCTTGCATGATGAAGTTGTTTGACTTGATGATGCTCACCAATAAGATTTGATATGCAATTCGACATATTCACTTCTCTGTGGAGAACTTATCCCAAAGATAATATTTGCCCCCAAAAAGGGTCATGATCCGCTTGAACATCCTGGAGAGCCAAGGGAAGGTGGGGAACAATAAGATATATCTCTTTTAAACTGACCAAGTTTGGACCGGCTTAACAGTGAACTTTGATTGATGACAAGACAAGTATGGGCCACAGAATGTCATCTTGCAAGCCTCAATTGGCTCGTGGGCTGCGAGTTCTACACCCCTGCTGTAAGGCGAAGTTTAAAGCACGCTGCCTCTTAAGAATATAATATGTAATCTAAATGGTGGGGTACTGGTGGGGACGAAATAAAAAGTGTGGTGTCATTGTTTTGGAGTTCAGCTGACAGGTCTACCTAGTGTTGTTCCTTTATGTTGTTTAGTTTTAGTAGGGACAGTTGGGTCCATCACCGGTCTTGAATCGGGAGAACATACAATGCTTCAACCTGTTGTGTCCTGTTCTGAGTCTGAGGATTATCACTTGGTCTGCTCTTGGGAGCTGGTAAATTGGGTCCTTTCTTCTGTGTTGTCGGTGCGCTTCGTTCCATTGAGCATGAATTGCTGGCTTGATGAGTGTTTTAGCCTTCTGGTAGTTGGGGCTGGGAGGGGTTTGTTCCATTTGTTCTCTTTTCCTCGCCAGTTCGCCGGCACATTCGTTTCCAAATATGTCGACGTGCCCAGGAATCCATTGCAAAACAACTCTGCAGGCTGAAGAGTTTTGTGCCATGATAGCTCTTGTTAGGGCATTGAGTTCAGTACTCTTGTTGTTCTCCATGGATTGTAGGACTGATTTTGCGTCAGTCAAAGGTATCACTTTCGCGTTGTGTGTGGCCTCACACTCACTGTTTCCGAGCACCCTGACTGCCTGTTGGAGAGCTTCTGTCTCCGCTTTATACTTATAGTTGGTGGAGTATTTTCCTGCTGGTATGCTGATGCTGGAACTTGTTTCGTCAAACCACTCTATGTAGATCTCCACCTTCGTCTTGTGTTGCTTCCCTGGATGATCCATCTGTCAATGCTCTGATCAACTGATCTGGTGGGTACTTGGGTCAGGTGGTGTGTCTGGCTCCTGAGTGTTGCTCTGGGATTTTGCTCCTTTGCTGACAATTCCTTCGATATCCTTTATGATATCTGGATGGCTGTGCTGATTCCAGGAGGACAGTCTTTTGTTGTCTGAATCGGTGCATCTGTCAAGGTCTGGTAAATCAAGGTTTTTGTGAATCTCCCAGGCTGAAATCGTAACGTGTTTCCGTTTCAGTCTTTTCTTCGGTTTGTTTGTCATCACTTTGTGCATGGGATGACTTGTGAGATGTTGGAACTTGGTGTTCTGGGAGTGAGTTATGACTTCGGTGTTTCTTGATTTCCCTCATGGTCTAGTGGGTGGCAGCAAAGACAGTCTGGAGAGAGGTCTGTGAAAATGTACAATCTTGATCATCATCATCATCAGCATCAGCATCATCGTCGTCGTCGTCGTCGTCGTCGTTGCCCCCTTCTCCTCCTCCCTCTCTCCATCCCACCCCATCCCCTCCCCATCCTCCCGCACTCCTCTCCTCCACTTTCGAAAACAGTCTGTAAGTAACCATAATTGATTGACCTCGTCTCGTGGCCTAAAGTATTCTCGTTAGGATGGTCATGTGATCTGATTGTCACTCACAGCAGCAGGTGTTTATTTCGCCTATCCTTACTCCCATGTCTGGTTCGTGGATACCTGAATACGGTATTTCAGCTAAAATGTAACACTAATTTCTAAAGACAAAGAGGAAGCATTGCTTATTATTCGCTATCGGGTGCAAAGGTTGTTTTCTTAAACTTATTCAAACAATTGAGTGCATATTTGAATTCTATCAAAATTTATTCTTAAAAAGTTACAATTTTTTAATTCTTTTACATGGAATTTAACAACAGTCACACAAACAAAGCCACACCGTTTCTTCAGTCAGTATGGTGTTGATATCTATGGTGTAAATGGCCGACCAGGGTTTAATTCCCAGTAAATTTGTTTCTAAGTCTCCTTTGTTCGGAACTCCTTCCTTTTAAAGAACTGTACAGTGTAGGATTAATTTAAAAAAGGGCCATGGACCTATACCATACCACCACCACAACGAAACCAACAACCCCAAGAGCAACGATAACAACAATAACAAAAAGTTCAGATGAGTGGCCTGAAGAGTAAAAAAAAAATGCGCTCGTAGTATAGCTCGCAGGAAACTGAAGTTCGATTCTCGAGTGGGAAAGAATTGTATCGAGTATCTCGGTCTTTCTGCTGTGATGTTGTATCCCTCTCAGCCCAAGTTGGCCTTGACAGGCAAGCTTGAAACCCGCCTCCTAAATAACCTAAACTGTGTCGATTTTTTAAAAACCTGTAAAATTACGAGTACCTACATAATAAAACGGTTTATCATCAAGTTCATGTGACCGGTGTTGCGCCTCCAAAGTAGCATAATTTCAGTATTGCAGTTTGGCTGCTTTAAATTTTAATATCTTGCTTTTGTGGATGACGAGATGTACAGTAGAATCTGGAAGCAGCATCTGTGCATCTCGTTTGATTAACAACGCAACGAATATTACATCGCAACGGCTGTGCTACAAATGCTGTGGAAAAGGGACGTGAACGTTTTCATTCTAAAATATTTGTTTTTATACGTTAGTGCAACCCCTGCCCCAATCCTCCAACAAACCAAAAGCAAACAAATATAAAAAACAAAGCAAAGCACCAAATAAAAGATGAAAAACCGCCACCAAAAAAAAACAAAAAAACACACACACATACACACACACAAACACACACACACACTCACACACACACACACACATACATACACACACAAACACACACACACACACACACACACACAAATTAGGTCACCTGTTTTATATTAGCTAAATATATTCAGTGTTAAATCGGCAGTGTCGTGGGAAGAGGCGTCTCACCACACACAGCCGAGAAGTAGCCTACGTTTGATTCGCAGTGAGTTGAAGATATCAACATAATTTTATGATACAGTGGTTCGGCATTTTATTTTTGTGGGGATGCACAGTCCAACTCATTTCAGTACTGTTGTTTGTTCCTGAAAGGCAAACAGGACCGTGTCCTAAATGATCAGTCTTAAAAGGAGTGTAAAACTTTTACAATCATTGTTTTGAGGAGAGCTTCACTGCGTGGCGGCTTGGTTGTGATTTCGCAAGTCATTAAGTTTCTTTACCATGTGTGTTGTGAAAACAAACGAATAAATTTAAAAAATGCTCTATTAATCAGTTAATTGCAAAACAGTATTATAATAGTGCTCGCTGTGTATGTGGAATTGATGTACATTGTTTTTGACTTTGAAGGAAATGAAATCTGTGCCATTTATACATACACATATATGTATGTATGCATGTGTATCTGTATCTATATATCTATATCTATCTATCTATCTATCTATATCTATCAATCAATCAATCAATCAATCAATCTATCTATCTATCTATGTATCTATCTATCTGTCTATCTATCTATCTATCTATCTATCTATCTATCTATTATACATATCATCTATCTCTCTCTCTCTCTCTCTCTCTCTCTCTATA